GATGTGTTACAGTTTTTATAAAACTGGTTCATTTATTCCAGAAATATTTGAAATATATTTAGGAGCCACTTTGAAGAAATGTTTGTGTCTCTAAAACATTATGGAAAGTCATCCATTCTAAGTTTCAAACACTAACAACCTGAATTGGTTTCAATAAGACAGAATCAATATGTCAAGTTCCTTGATTTGGTGTCATTTGTAGTGTTTAAAGGTTCAGTCCATAGGACCGCAAAAAACCGGTGGACCGAACTGAACTGGACCATGGACCGGTCTTTTTTTCGGTTGCAGTTGCCCCAATTTGGGGTTGGTCTGGTTGCCGGTTGCCTCATTTCGAAAATCTTTTAAAACCGTTCAAAGACCGGTTTTAATCGGTTGCAACCGGTTAAACGGTCACGTGCGTTACATAGCCTTGTAACCACGTTTATTGCCTTTTATTGGGTTTTTGTTTCATCAAAAACGGTTAAGAATTGAGAAAGATATAACCAAATCCATATTTTACCCGAGTCTCTATGAGATGTAATTCAGTTTCAGTCATAGCTATGTCAAATCTTCATTAAATCTCTTGAAAATTGGTAGAATGATGGGTATTTATATGCTTTACTATTTTATATAACCCGTTTATTTTTCAGAGTAATAATGGTTGAGATACAAATGGTTTATATTGGTATAATAAATTATAGGCAAAAAAACCGGTCTGGATCGGTCTGAACCGGTATCATGGACCGCAAAAGACCGGTCCTAGGTGGTTCGGTTCGGTTCCCTCAATATCTGGGTCGGTCCTGGACCGGTTGCGGTCCACGGTTGCGCGTTTTCAGGGCAAAAAACTGGACTGAACTGAACCTTTAAACACTAGTCATTTGTGATTGTGTTGGGTGAATTGTAAATTACTCCCTGGACCTTGAGCTTAGATATTTTGGGGATCATCTCCCATGATAGCTACCTATCATTTCATGATCATGTGTTTACTTTTGCAACTATTGTTCCAATAAATCTATAATCTCATGTTCTTTTGGATAAATGGTCACAGTGTTACAGAGGCGTGACACTTCATGTCAATGACTAATCAGAGCCAATTTGGCTCATTCTTTTTCTGCAGTTCACACACCACATCACATTGCTTTTTCTGGAATAATTGTCACACAAAATGGTCTTTCATGTGCTTTCCACGATGGTCAAAAAACAAAAGTCCCAACAGGCTGAAAACTCGAAAATGCAGCACATGATGGATGAATATGGACAGGAACAATTGAAGGAAAAGCCCAGTAGTTTGTGCAAGATTGCTGCAAAGTTTGCAGTCAGTTTCACTACCTTAGGATGGCTTGTGAAGGGGGGTGTATCCATGAGTGCTTTTAACATGTCTAAACAAAAAATCAAACCGGAAGAAGAAGTAATTCTTGTTGACTTTATCCTGGAATCAGCTGACTGGGGACTACCACCAACCCACCATTCCATTGAGCTCTATGCAAATGCCATTCTGAAGAGCTGTGTTGGTGATGGTTATGAGTGAGTTGGGATCAAATGGGTCTTTGGCTTCCTCAACCACCACCGTGATCAGCTCCAATCCCACTGGAGCAAGCCTCTCGACACCCAGACAGCTCGAGCTCTGAATCCTGAAGCCAAGAAAGCATGGTACGAAATGGTGGACAGGGAGGTCATTCAACAAGGGGTTCGTGTCAAGGACATATATGGGATGGATGAGAGTGGATTTCCACCATTGCACCAGGGCCGAGAGAGGGTGGTGGGAGCACGAGGGACCAAGACACAGCACAAACAGGGTGGGGCAAACTGGGAGAATGTTACAGTGATTGTAACCATTTGCACTGATGGAACAATACTAGACCCCTTGATCATCTTCAAGAGAAAGAACTTCTTGAAGAAGTGGGGCAACAACAATGTTGCACATGCATTGTAAGTGGCTGCCTACATTCAGGGTTATATTTTCTGATCTTGACCATTAGGATAGCTCATTCTTCAAATGGCTGGACAGACGGCAAGCTAGGTTTGGGGTGTCTCAAAAACTTCAATACACAGATGAAGGAGAAGGCAAATGGATGAACACAGGTTCTGTTGCTGGATGGCCACAGCTCCCACTACACAAAGGAAGTGCTGGATTATGCCTGAGCAAAGAATATTGTCATGCTAGGCTATCCTCCACACTGCATGCATGCACTCCAGGGTCTTGATGTTGTGTGTTTTGCGAGAATGAAAGATGCCTGGAATGAGGAGATCAACACATTTGAAGACCTTAAAAAGCGAGCAGTAGGGAAGGGGGACTTCACCGAAGTATTTGGCATAGCCTTTCTCAAAGCCTTCACCCTGGAGACTGTCAAAGCTGTGTTTGAGGCTACAGGCATCGTTCCATTCAATCCTGATGTGATTAAGGAGAGTCAGCTCAAACCTAGCCTCACAACATCGACAAGGGCGAGCTTCCCCTTACCTCAAACAAGTCCTGTATGTGCAGTCATTGCTGCTCTCCACGCTAACCCACCAACATCATTTGATCTATCACCCTCTACCTATGCTCCAGCACACATGCCATCTTTACACTCCCCAGCTCTTTTGCCATTTCCAATCCTGCCATCTGATATTACATCTCCATCCACACCAACACAACAAAAACAGCTGTCTCCATTGAATTCCATTGATCCAGCACTCT